TGAAACCACCTCTACCTACCCAATTGGAAAACAGTGTGAATACCTAGAAGTACAAGCTCTTATTAAAAGCTTATCATGTGATTTTAATCCGAATTTTTCTTATAAAATAATTTCCAAGAGGAAGTTGTGTGAATTGTATTTGAAAAATATTTAGGAGTGTTGCTTCATAGATCTATGCATTCATTGCAATGACTGCCTTGCAATTAACAATTTTTTGTAAGAGCCGAATGAAAAGTAACTATTGTACTTAAAAATTGCGAAAGAGCTAAAAAGAAGGTGATTTCACAAAAACCATTTTCTATGCTAAAGTGAGGCTACCCAGATAGCCAATTGTACAGATTTTAATAAACACTAGCAAGAGTTGCATAGTTGATGGCTAGTTTTTATAAAGTAATTTAGCCTGAGTTGTTTATGAACTCCGTTCAAGCTAACTTTGTAAAATTATCTTGAGCTATCACTGCGGGTTTCGTGCTTAAGCGAACACGAACAGACATACAAACAAACAGACAGACACACTTACAGGCATCGAGATTGACATATGACCATAACTAACTAAATCACTTTATACATGATCAAAGAAGCCAGATATAGAATATATATATCACTTTGTAGGGATTTGCCGGTGAGTTTTCTTGACTCGTTAGCTTGAATTTGGTTGTGATTATACCTTGCTCAGATGATATTCGTCATATGAAGGACGAAAGCTTAGCACCTTTTCACCGAAATCGAAGGAGATTACCTCGGAAACAGCTTCAGCATGAATTTTCTAGTAAAGCCAATCGACAGCTGGTCAAGAGGAATCCGACATCATCTTCTGGTGGAATCGACCTTCACCAAAAGATTTCACTCGAAATGGAAGTAAGCTCAACAAACCATCTCCAGCTATGTGCCTTCTCAAATTGACGGGTTATTTTGCATTGAGATTATGGTCTTTCTTAGATGAAAACCACAAGGTATAACTTGCTAGGACCCTTTTAAAAATGTTTACTTGTCATACATTTATTCTCTATCATGAGAATCTGAAATTTTTTTAATGAAAGAATGAATAATGAGCCAGATGGTGATGTTCATGGGAGCTAAACTTAAACAAAAACACGTTAATTTTGTTCACCACGATATTCAAATTCTCAAACTTAATCTATGAACATTATCAATCATAGTGCGTTTACTCGAACTAGGAACTAGCCCTATCCACAAATAGAGCTCCCTAAACCGTTTCTATAACTATCTTCCAAAGCCCTCAAATTGACCTTAAAGTTTTCGAAGCTCGTCGTGCAGCCTCAATTCAGACCTACCTGCCAACTATCATGAGTTCAGAATCTGTCGCCTTTGGCCGAATGTGGGACCAGATGTCTATTGTGAACAAGGTTGAGGCAGAGTTGAAGATACTCGTGAGGCTGGAGATTAGAGAGGCTAACATCACCGAGAGCATGAGACCCTTAGCGCCTGTAGGCAGAAGATGTAAAACCAGCCGAGGATAAGCAATATCTGAGCAACCTCGTCGTTTTCCACAGATCTTCTCACATATTTCCATGTCGCCACAACCCACTTCATCTAGCAGGAAAAAAACAGGCAAATAATATGAAGAAAATATAGGAAGGCAGGCCTAAATAAGCATGAAGACTAGAGAGCTAAAGGCATAAAAAATGGACTTTAAGCGAAAAGGAGAAAAGTGAAATCTAAGCTCCATAAATTTCAAAGAAAAAAAATCTTTAATCTATTCATATTTGATTTACATCGTTACAGGGGAAATTATGATACATTTTCTAAGGCTTGACTAGACTAATTAAAAAAGAATTCGCGAATTAATACTTAAATTTTTTCCATACATGCGTAAAGGAAAGAGTAATTAGATAAAAAGTCTCTTGATAATATTATTAAGGCCAAGATATGGCTCTTAGAAGTACGCAGCTTAGAGAGTACTATCAACACTACAAAACGCAATAAACCAGCCACATTTGGAGGAGGCTAGGATAATATTCCATAGATAGGGGATTTAATATGGAAGTATAGATAAGTAAATTGTAAGCATAATTATTTCCAAAGTCGGACCATAGACGTGGTACATTCCCAGACGTTTCGCCGGCATCGTCAGTGCGTTTTACCATTCGTAGCGCCATATTACAACTCGTCAGAGAGACAGGTGAAGCCGATCCTTTGACCAAGTGTGTGCTAAACTGTTATGGTATCTCCCATTCTGCCCTGGCCTACTCATATTTCCTATATCCTCCTATCACGCCTTCACTGTCACAATTTTTTTACTTGTTTAATTAAATGTGGTACTGTGTGCACTTTTTTTAGCGGCTCTCATGAAAACGCTCCGCAGTTCACACTGGTCTTCTCACCCCCTTCATCCTTGTGCAGGGAATGTTGATCAGAGTATGCCATATTGTTACGCAGTCCTCCTTCCCTAGGTCTTACCACAGTCTCTTTCTTGCCCCGTAAGATCTGTCTGCCCTCTCCCTGGTTCACATATTTCACTCGACCCCTGCCACCCCATCTGCGCCACCCAAGGCGTTATTGGCCCTACCGTGCGTCTGCGTGAGTAATTCGAGGCTGAAGCCTCTGAGTGAGTGTCATGGTCATACCTTTGCCACATGGACCACGTCTCTTATATAAACTACTGTCGGCATACTAGCTCCCATCGCCGCTGCGTTTATTCTGTTTCTATCTCTAATACCAAGTCTATGACTTCCCATGCCCTAGTCTCTTGTTTGCCAT